ATAGAGCAGAGGTCCTGTCCAGAGCCCAGTCAGAGGCTCCCAGGCCATCTCTGTGCTTTGCAATGCTTTAAGTGTGTGGCAGCTTTCTGTATTGATAGGTGCAGTGAGATTAGGGACCAGACCAACCTGTCACTTTAATTTGGTCTAAACCTGGGGGATTTAGCTGCAAAAATGCTGTTTATAACTGGGGAGGGAGGGGATTTTGGTAGTGTTGACTAAACCATCCAATGGCATGGGAAGGTTTAGAGAATGATGGCTAAACCTTTGGAGAATGACTGGGTGTTTGACATTAATGAGAAAAAAATGGCAAGGCTAAAAGCATCCCAGATGCACAGAATTCAATTACTTGGCAGTGCAGTTTGATTTTTAGTGTATTTTGCAGTACATTAGTAATTGATCTGTGTGGTATTTGTAGCTGCAGAGGGGCTCTAAATGAATGTTTGTCATGATGGTTACAAAATGTTCAATACTGGGAATGAAATTTCTCCTTGCTGTGATTGTTCATGTGATTTACGGCTAATGGAAAGTAGCTCTCCTGCTCCTTTCTGGAGCAAATAGATCTTGATTCTTCCTTTAAAAATCCCAGTAAGAGGAATTGTTCTGTAAAAAAAGCCAATATGAAGCTAAATCATGGTGAGAGATGCTCCCTGTGGACATGCTTGGGACATCTCCTGTGGCACAGACCACAGGGGTTTTTGCACTGGTGGTCACTCTGCTGCAGCTCTGTGCCCAGGAGGCAGCTATGCTTGCCTTCCAGAAGTGGAAGTTTCTCAGGGCCCTGAAGTTCACCATCCAAATTCCTTTAAGCCCTAAAATTCACTGGCAGATTTGTTTCTGGCTTTGCTAACTCTTTCTTTTCCCCAGCATGTCACCAGTGATCCTCTGTCTAAGGGAATCTCCCAATTCATTCTGTCATTTCTGCTGTTCATGCAGTAATTACTTTTTAATAAAAGCTGGAGTTCTCAGGTGATTTCTCATGCAATGCCTGGATAGTCTAAGAAAGGCTTAGTTTCAAAATGTGGCCAAAGAGGGTGTGTTTAGTCTGGTATGTGCAAAAAACCCAGCTGTGACACTGAATCTCTTAAGGACTTTTGTAAAATTCACTCTGTCCCCCATTTCCCTTGGCTGTAAAATATTGATGAAGCCTGTAAGGGATCTCACAGTTGGTGTGGGATTCAGTTCTGCTAAATACTCTCTAGAAGAGATACGGTTTCCTGTAGGCTGCTTGTTCCATAGCTACCTCTTCCAGGACAATTTTTTGCCTATCCGTGAGGTAACTGAGACCATGAGTGTCCAGCTCATCCATGAATTCTTCTGATTTTGTGTCCTAGAGTGGAATAGAGTGGTATTTTGAATTTTGCTGTCTGACACTGACTAAACATACACTTATTTTTAGCAGCTCAGATGTATAGTTGCAGCAGAAGTTAAACACCTGTCAAAGGTCAACAGACTCAGCAGCAAGCCTTGAGCAAACAGTGAGGAGGCAGTCACAGGGTTATGATGTTGGCTAATTGCAAGATATAAGAAATGAACAGTGATGGGGAAGGGTGATCCTGCAGTAACAGCAGCACATGCTCTGCTTGCAGTGAGGTTTGCCAGCTCATTAGGAGAGCAGTGTTTCCCAAGTGTTAGAAAGAAAATTGGCATCGTGAGACTGGTAAAAGAGACAGCAGCTGGGAATGGGAGAGAGGCAGGAATACTTAGAGTGTGAGGCATGAAAGGCAGGTGTCCCAGGTGTTACCTGTATAAACATCAAGTCTTTTCCTCCTGTATTTGAGTCTCTTCATGTGCCTTTCTCTAGGCGCAGACAGCGAACTTGGTGCTGGAAGATGGGACGAAGATGAAGGGCTATTCTTTTGGCTATCCATCCTCCACAGCAGGGGAAGTTGTATTCAACACTGGGCTCTCTGGGTAAGGCAACAGCAAATGAGGTACAAGCATCAGTACTTCTCTGGAAGCTTGTTGAAGGGTCAAAGCTGCATTTTCCAAGCTTACAGTGTCCTGATCCAAGCAGATGGTTTTCTATATAATGCTACATTGCAGTCTGGGGGTACAGAGAGACAAATAATTAATGAAGAAGCTTCAGGCAGTTCTCTTGGGTCATAGCATTTGTGGTGATAAGGACATTTAAAGACTGATCTAACTAACTGTGATAGTGAGATACACAGGAATGTGATCACTTCCCACTGAAATGCAGCCACTGCTGAGTCAGAGCAGAGGAGGTGTCTGTTCTCCCTCCAGTGCCCAGATCAAATATAGAGATTTGAAGCATTTGCAGCCTTCTGGGTAATGGAAATGAGCCTCTGGGTGCAAAATTTTTAAATCCCAAGGTTCCTGTGTTGGTCAGCTGTATGACCCATCCCTTATGACGTTTCTTGGCTCATACCGCTGAGGATACATTAAACTCTGTGCCCCTTCCAGCTAAAGGGTAGGATCAGATTCATGTCTGACCTAGTGTTTTGGGTCTAGCTGAGATGGAGTTCATTTTCCCATAGCAGCCCTCACAGTGCTGTGCTTTGCATTGGTAGCTAGAAAGGTGTTGATAGCACAGCCCAAACACTTTTTGGCTACTGCTGAGTGGTGCTGGCAAACCACCAGCACTGTCTCTCAACATTCCCCACTCCCCCCTTCCCCTCTCACTCGAGGGCAAGATCCTGTGAGGGGACACAACCAGGCCAGACCCAAACTAACCAAAGGGATATTCCAGACCATATGATGTCAGCTCAGATATAAAAGCTAAGGAAAGGAGGAAGAAAGAGGGGCATTCATTGTTTACAATGTTTACCTGCTGAGCAGCTGCTATGGTTTCTGAGGCCCTGGGAAGTGGCTGGACACCGCTCACTAATGGCAAGTAGAGAATAAATCTTATTATTTTCCTCTTGGCTTGTGCATGCACAAACTTTTGCTTTTGCTTCAGTGAACTGCCTTATCTCAACCTATAAGTCACTTCCCATCTTATTCTCTCACCCTTGTCCAGCTGGAAAGGGTGGCTTGGTAGACACCTGGTGTCCTGCCAAGGTCAACCCACTACACCTAACATGGTTCTCTGTCCTCTTGAGTGGTGGAAGCCTGTGGCTAACTTAGAATGGCAGCCAAATCTTGCTGGTGCTTTTACTGAACTGCTTAAGCCGAGGAAATCTGCCCAGAAATGAGGCTTTTGGTAAGGACATGGACATGTCCATGGGGAGATGAGACAGCTCTGAAGTTGTTGGTGCTTGAGCTTTTTCTTCAGTCATTCATAGCTGTCTTTGCTCAGCTGCCTTGTGTTTTCCAGGTTCTTCTCTACTTTGGAGAAACCAGTACTCACAGAATGAGTTTTTAAATGATCTCCTTGGTGAGAATGTTAAATTGCTGCAGAGGGGAATCAGTGTGCAAAGTTTTGCATTAGGAGGCAATTATTTAAGAGTTTTGACAGCACTAATTACTGTCTATGTTAATATACCTGCCAACAAGCCACTGTTTAATATAGATCAGAATGATGGAGGGCACCAGAGTTCTCTTCTTAGTGATAGATTATGGGCAATAAATCTTGTCACATCACTAAAGTCAAGGAGGACCTGATGAATTATTTCCTCTCTACATGTTACTGTGGAAGCAGAAGCTGTGTTTGTTTTCTAGTGATTTGGAGAGGATGCCTGTAAAAGTGAGATCTCTTCTGTGCTGGGAAGCATATGGGTGGGCATGGAGGGAATATTCAAAATGTAAGGTTGTATCTTCAGAGCCTTCTCCAGAACGTGACCTTGACTGATTCGGAGAAAAGGAAGATGAAAGAGTTAGCAGCATTGTTGCAAAACATAAAAGTGGCAGATTTGCTACCAGTCCACGGGTTGCTGGCCATTGAAAGCAAGCTTGTAGCTCTGCCTCAGGCTTCTAAGCACAGAGATCAAACCTGTGTGTCCAGAGGAGCCCAGCCACCTCTTCTCGCTGGCACAGGAAGAGGCTAAGTGCCCGTGAGAAGGAGGTGCCCAGGGCTGGGGCATTTTCCAGCCTGTCTGGGTACCTACCAGTGTGTCAGGATAGGGAGCTAGAGGTTAGTGCAGGGGTGATTTGGCCATGGCTGCTGTTCAGCCTCACATCACTGCTTTCTGTGAAGTGGGTGTTTCTAGGTGCTGAGTGGGGCCAGGGTGGGCTCTGTCCTGGGGTGATTAATACGCTGCTGTGCACCGTGTCTGCTCATCTGGGCTCCCACATCCTGATTCATGTCATAGAACTGGAAGGCAAAGCATTTTATGTGCATACAGCTCCCAGGCTTGAAGCAGCTAAACCAGGCTGAAATGTGGTCATAACACACTGGAATGGAGGGCAGAGAGCACTCTTTTGGGGTTGAAATGTTGAATATTCATTCAAAAAGCATGAGGAGGAACTTTTCAGAAACATTTGCTCAAAAAAACCCCACCAACCTAGTGTTGCAGCCATCTGTTTAGTATAGGAACACAAAGGAAAAAAGGAGTTTCCAATTAAGAAAGAAGAATTACAAACTGTAAAACATTCCCATATTTGAAACAGCTCAGTAAATGCATTTGCCTCCATTAAGTCTCTTTATGTTTCCCGTGATATTTTAGTGAGAGAATGGATCAACAGGAATTTACTGAAACCAGGCAGGCCTTTGGGCAGGCACAGCAAGGATTAGACCTTGCAGCATCGTTGGAGCTCGTGGTTCCATCCACCTCTCTGTGCTCCACGTGGAGCTTAAAGGGTATTGCATCTGTGTGGAGTCCTGCCTGCACACCCCATCCAGACCCAGTGGCTCTCTGTCCTCGTTTGCTGATTGCAAATGACATGCAACAGTTAATTACACTAGCTTTGTCAGTAACAAGGAATCTTCTGGAAGCATGACCAGTTGGCTCAGAAGGAGGGAGCTTGTACGTGCCATGTGCCGGGTACTTACTGCAGTCCTGTGATCACCATGCACTTTCTGTAGTTGTTTACCTGCAGCAGCAAGTATAGATTGGAACAGCAGGAGAGGCTTCCCTGAAAAATATTTCATGGCCATTGTTCATTTGACCTGTTATTTCTCAGAACTGGCTGGTGTGCTGTGTTGTCTATATCTGCCAGCAACCATTCTGGCTTTTATGAAGAGTTTCCCAATGTTTGACAATTAATCTTCTGGCAGTAAGTCTTGTGTTCCATAAAAATGTCTCTTGTGACTTGCTGATATCTGGTAGATGGCTGGAGTTGCCAATTATGTATTGTTTAAACAATGATGACAATAATAAATTATATTTTATATAGGGCAAATTAATCCTGAAGTGTCCTTTTGCATTTGGCTCACTATTTGTGTGGATAACTTCATCTGATGCTAAATTACAGCTGCTTTTGGGTTGAAAGACAGCAATTGTTTACAGTTGTTTAATGGATTGCTGCAAAAGATGGTACAGTACAAGAGAGAAAGTGAAGGTCTGTGTGTTAATTTAAAGCTGAAGTATAGGAGCATATAGACCATGTTTACCCAGTCCCTGTATTTGGGGTTGAAAATGAGACTGGATCCACTAGATCCAGAGCTGATACTTAACAGAATCCTAGGTTTGGTCCTCTGCTACAGCAAAATATTCCAATGTGCTTTTAGATCTTTTCTTGCTGAGGAGGGCATTCAGGCAGGGGCTTGGATAAATTGCTTTTCCCTAGGGGGTCTACCTGAGCTGAAGATAGGACACACACTGGGGCCTTGTGACCAGGGTGGAATGCTGAATCCAAAGCATTGTCTTCCAACTTGCCTTCTTCAGAGATACACAAATCACCTGTAAGCACTTAGGAGTCTTGTCAGGTGAAACTCATGATGTCCCATGGGTGGGAACCTGGAGATGGCCTATAGGAGAGGCCTGGCCTCTGCTGGGAGAAACTGCAAAGTGGGGCTGTGGCAGGGTTTTTGTTAGCAGAGCAGGTAGGAGAGAAGAATCCAGAGTAGCAGTGAGGAATCACAAAGATTTGTCTGCGTGCTCCTCGGCAAAAAAAGCAGTTACAGCCCTGAACATCTCAAGACCTGCAAGCTCCAGAGAGGGGAAGGGAGCAAGCCTGGGCAGATGGCTCTGTTGTCTGCTGGCTTTTCAGTTCAAGCCTTCTATTGTACTGAGAGGGGAAAGCTTTTACACTGCAAGGAGGGACGAGTGCAGCAATAACAAAGCACTGCCCACATGGTGTGCCCAGGGCATGGTCAAGCCCAAGCTGTTATCTGAGAGTCCAGTGATATGCCATGCAGTTCTGTGATCTCTCTGCCCTCTGTGTAGTTGTTTAGCTCATGTTAAATCACAAGGAGTCTGAGTTTGTTGGTAGCTCCTGTGCTTTTCTTAAATGAAACATGAGAAGCCAAAGCCTTTCCTGGTTCTCAGTGTCAAATGTTTAACCACAGATGGGAAAGTCAGGGCACGTTCACAGATGTGTTTGCTTTTATTCTGAGAATGCCTTCACATGAATACTCTTTCTGTCTTTTTGTCATATGGGAATTCAGACCTGTCTTGTTTTCACTGGCTCTTTTGTCTTCCTTTTGACTCCAGACCAATGTACTTTTCTTCTATTGTTTCTTCATCTAGATACACCGAAGCCTTGACAGATCCCAGCTACAAAGGACAGATTCTTGCCCTGGCTAACCCCATAGTTGGGAATGTTGGAGTGCCTGACACAGCCACTTTGGATGAAATGGGCCTCAAGAGGTTTCTGGAGTCTGATGGGATCAAGGTAACAGTGGGAGATGCAGAAGTTATCAGAGTGGTGCCAGCAGCCTGACTGTGTGATAGAAGGAATCAATGATCCTCAACCTTTCTTTTTCTTCTGGATATTGTCCTTTGGAGGAATGGTGGCAAAAGATACTCCATATTGGTTTTTGTGCCAGGATATGTGCCTTCTGAAAGCTTGGCATTTCCTATCAGTGATAGACATGGTACAGTTTTTGTGAACTGCTGTCGTGGATGACTTTTTTTTCACCTTCCTCTCTGCCTCATATATTGATCAGTGTTTGCACAGGACTGGTAGCCAAGAGAAATCAAACACCAGAAGTTTCAGTGTGCTAAGACTCTTCTCTGTGTGCCTGTGCTGCCACAAGCAGGGGAGGTGACAGCTGTGTGGAGAAGAAACCAGAATTTACACTGTGGTAGCAGGGGATGTTGGTTAGGAGTAGGACTGTGTCCTGGCACCAATGGCAGTATTGAAAAATGAAACAAACCCATGTAGTTGCAGAACCAGTGAAATGCTTTATCTGTTTTGAGGTGAAATGACTATTTTATGCACTATCTAACTCTACTGGAAAATGGAGCTGTCTATTGAAATGAAGCGTCACTTAAAAGTGAAGAACTTTCTTACACAAAAAATGAATCAAAACATTTTGTCTTATCTTAAATTTCCTTTTTTTTTTTTTCCTAACAAGAAGTGTTTTCTCAGTTCTGTGCAATTTGCAGCTTTGGTTACCTGAAAACCACATTCTTCTATGAATTTCCTAAGTAAAAAGGCCCAGATACAATCGTGACAGTGTGAAGTGTGTCTGTGATAGGGTTTATGGTAAATAAATAGTGAAAATTGAAAGTACAGGGTAACTACAAAGTGATCTTTCAGTTCAAAATGATGTTTCTTCTATCTACAGGTTTCAGGTTTGCTGGTGCTGGACTACAGCAAAGAGTACAGCCACTGGCAAGCTGCTAGGAGCCTGGGGGAATGGTTGCAAGAGGAACAGGTAAGCAATCTAGAGGTAACTACACATGAGCTTTTAATTTTTGTGCTTTTCAGGGCAGAAACAAGATTTTAACAACTAAGCTATTTATGAATGGGAGAAGGGAGGAGAGGTGAAGCACTAGAAGTGAGGCAGCCTTGGTAATACTGCTGTCAAGAGCCAGAGGTCCTTAAGCAAGGCCAGGCTGGAATGGGGCTCTGAGCAGCCTGGTCTAGTGGAAGGTGTCCCTGCCCATGGCAGAGGGGTTGGAGCATGAAGATCTTTAAGGTCTCTTCCAATCCGAATCATTCCATGATCCTGTGGCGTGTTCTTCTCACACAAGTGATCTAGCTGCTCTCTTCCTCTGTCTTAGCTGCTTGTTCTCTAACTTAGCCTTGTGTTTTCTTCAGGTGCCTGCACTGTATGGGATTGATACTAGAATGCTGTCCAAATTAATTCGTGACAAGGTATGATCTGCTTCTCTTGATCCAGCTGCATTAACCTGGCTAATGTTGGGCCCTTTTTCTAACACTGTAGCAAACCTGGGGCAGCAATGGTGCCACTGGGCTGCCTTGACTTCAGATGCTTCTCAGATCCATGTGCTCTTCCAAAGGCTCTGTGTCTTCTCTAATACTGGGCAATGTTCTGATCCCAGGGAGCCCTCTCTCCTTGGCTCTGCTCTGGATTTCCTCTCCTACATAAGTGAGGCAGCACAAGCTGGTGTAAATGAAAGGCCTCTGGTAGTGTCAGACACAACAGGTAGTAATATCAACTACATGTTAATTCAGTAACAGTCAGAGAGAGCAACAACTCTGTGAGGTATTATGGATTTTAGTTCACAGATGGTGCCAGCTTTGGTCAGTGGAAATTCTCCTGCTCCTCTCAGTCAAAGAATGCCTACAATAATGTAAGCTGGATTCCTAACTTGGGCTGGTTTTCTTAGGTTGAATCTTGCTATTATTTTTAATAGTCATTACTTTTCTTTCATTTCCAAGAGCTGACAGTTGAAGGACATGAGCAGGATTATGTTACAGAATGGAGGTTAATGTGAAAGTGCACTTCACACTGGCTGAAACACTGATCAAAGTCAGTCTGAATTAAATGTGCCTTGGAGGCTCTTCTTTTCTAATGGATTTTTTGAAGCTGCTCTTTTCTTTAGGTGATCAATTTGCAGCCTGCAGTCCAATCCCACATCCCCTTTCATTCCACAGAGCAAAACAGGGATGACCCAGCTTGAAGAGAGGAATATTTGTAGAAATTAATTCTTATGGCAAGATTTGGCATTGTCCTGCCCTTACAGACAGCATATATGTGCAATTTAATGCAATAGAAGATGGCAATGCTTTCTTAAGGTATAATAGATCAATATTCCTTTTATCCAAAGTAAATACACTTCCAATGTTTATTCTGTAACTTAGCAGTGTATGGTAGTAATGCCATACTGTGACTGAGTGGTGTTGATGTATGGCTTTTAAAATAGTGCATAGTCACCTTTTGGTCTGGTCTCTCAGGCTGAAAAAAACGCTTAGTATTTAATTCTATGTCTAAATTGGGGATGAGAACAGGGCTTCATTATGGTAAATGCAGAAATGAGCAATGACTTGTTAAACTGGGCTAAGGTAAATGCAAGGCACCATTTGGCTGAATAATCTGGGAGAAAAGTAAGACCAAGGTTCCTGTCAGAGAGCAAGGGCTTTAGAGCTTTATTATAATAAAGCATTTATTATAGTAGCATGGTGGCACTCGGCAATGTGGCTCTCAAGTACCACGGCTCTCAAGCACTACTGAGCACTGTGGTTCCCAAAACCATGACTCGTTGAAGACAATGACATTTTCAGCTCTGGTCTGTGCAAAGCTTGGAGCAGCTTTTGGTGTAAGGTGCTACTCAAGGAGACATAAGATGTCAGCCACTGCTAAGAGCAAAACTCTCTCCTTAAAACTTACCCTTAGCAGTGTGCACAGCAATGCAAGATGTTGGCTCTTTCTTGCCCTAGGAAAATGGCAAGGGTACTTCAGGTATGGCAAACCAGGGAAGTATCTCACAGGAGAATCACTAAACCCAATGAGCAATCCCACTGTGCACATTAGTGTGATATCCACAGGGTGAGCTGAGTTTAACATATTTGATCATGAAAGTGATTTTTGGTAGAAGTTACCACAAAACAATGACTTCCTCTGTTTTATTTTCCCCTTCCACACTTGAAAATTTCTGTACTGCACACCCTGCCCCATACTTAGAAGAGGTTAACCCTGGATTAATCCCACTTACTCCAGGTGTGGGGCAAAGCAAAAGCAAGGATTTCTTTTCCACTGAGAACTCTAATGAGCAGGTGGAGAAGTATATGCTGCTAGCAGAGGAAGAGTGTCCTAGCTTCTGCCAGGTGGTAACAGCAGTATAGAATAGAGCTTGCTGGAGGTGATTTTTATTTTTAACAGCTTACTCAGAAACAGCTGTGCTGACCTGCTTCCTACATAGCTTTACCTTACACCGGCTCTGCTGCCTTGTGGTTATCCACACGAGGTGGCTGAAAAACTCAAAGTGGGTTTTTGGGTTTCCAAACTCAAAAAGCTTCAAACAGCTTAGTAGATTACTCCCTGATCTACACAACATTTATTTGGAGATCTGAAGTCAACTCAATTTCATGTCACTACACAGATTGCCAGACTGCCTATTAAATTTTACTGCTGATAATGCCTCTCCCCTGAATGAAGAGTTATAAACAGATTTTTCCTACCAAGGAAGGCTCATAAACTTCTGAAGATGCTAAAAATGATTATAAGCTGCCAAGAAACCAACTTTAAACACCTGTTCCAGTTGCTGTGCCTGTCAGCACCTTGTCCCAGTGTTCACAGGTTCTCTTTTGCTCATTCTTTGTTTTTTTTCTGGTGTATTTCCACAGGGCACAGTACTTGGGAAGATTGAATTTGAAGGTCAACCTGTGGAGTTTGCAGACCCAAATAAACAAAACTTAATTGCAGAAGTTTCTACAAAGGTGAGAAATTCTTCTGTAGTATCAGGGCTGTACACTCCAGGTAGTAACTGGTCCTCATTTGCTCTGGGCATCAACCATTTTTTCTGAACAAACGATTTGGGGATGTTTTCTAAACCATGCACCTTTCCAGACATTTCACAGACTGTCATCTCAGCATCATCCTCATAGAATCCCTGTGGCTCCTTAGGTGCAGTGTTGAAAATAAAAAATGAGCTGGATGTGCCCTGAATTGTACTCTGATCAAGCCATTGTGTGTAGAGACAGGACTGAGAAGTATTGGGGATACAGTTAGACCTGGTATATGGTGGACATAAGAAGAATTAATAAAAAGAATGGTTGCTTTCCTTAAATAAATTTCAGGAAACAGGGCATAATTTTGTTGAAGTGATTCCAGAACATATTTCTAGATTTCAAAAGGAGACCAAGTTAGGAATTCCCTGGATCTAAAAGTAGTGCTATTAGCTGCTTTGCCCATAGATCTGCACAGATCAGCAGTGAGTACTCTGTTAGCTGAGCATGCAAACCATGTTTGACCACAAGCTGAGAACAACATTAAAAACTACGAGGATGTAGCAAAACGGGCCCATACTAAAAATGGTAACTATTGTTGTATCAATTCAAGGGCTAATGTCTTAACTTGTGGCCCCTTTGGAGATTTAATTGGGGATAAAGAGTGCCCTGGATGCTTAATCCCACTGAGTGAAGTGAGAACTGAGTGTATGAGTCCCTTTTGCAAATTCCATGCTTATAGTGTTTGCAGCTCCTTCAAGACCAGTGAGATTCTGGAATTGCTTTGTAAAAAATTGCTTGTGTGCTGTTCTGCAGACAAGCTGGTGTGTTAGTGGCATGAGTGAAAAGCAGTCCTGAAGAGACTGGTCAGCAAGCAAGGGGGAATTTGAAGCACTCTCCATCGAGGCTTGGATTTATAGTAGTAACTGGTTACCTGGAATGCCAGTGGAATACATAGGCCACCTTGCAAATCTCACCTTTGGGGATCTCACTGATTCATGCCAATGCCTCCACTGTATTTTGAGTCAGGGCTTTGTTGCTACACAGAATGATGGCAATTTCTTAGTGAGGTTGTGATCTAGGATTGCAGAGTGCAGGTGGGGCCATTTGGAGCAGTATCTCAGAAACAGGTAAGGTTGCTGATGCTAAACTCTGCAATTATTGAGAAGGAATTTCTGTAAAGAGGCTGAAAATCTCTTCTAAAAGGGAGATATAATAAGATTAATGGTGCTTTGGTGGTCTCATTATGTTTATATCTTCACTTTATATGTTTAAAAAACAACACCACAAATAAGGCTGTAAATGAACTAAGCTGTTTAATGTTAATAATTACTGGACATGATTATCTGTTGCCAAATGGTGATTTTCATGGAAATCAGGATACAGAAGGATCAGGAATCTCCTTATCAATTGTACACTAGGAGTGATTGATTTTTTAAAATTACTTTTTCACCCTCACCTTCTTTAAATGCTTGTGATAGAGACTGTGCTTGCTAACATTGCCTATCCAGGGTAGGGAATGTAGAAAACTGCCAGTATTCTGCAGGAACTTTTATTGGAAGGTTGTTTTTGGTGCATGTGATTGTCAGGGTCAGAGCAGATAAGGTGTATTTAACCATTCCAATCTAAAAGGTTACTTCTCTCCACACATGACATGCAGCCCCACGAACTCTGTTCTCAGCACTGGTGCTGAGGAGTTTCTGCTCTCCCTGACCACTGTGTCGCAGCCTTCCCACATCATCTTTTCAAACTGGGACAGTTTTTTGTAGGCTGTGCAGCAAACAGATGAGGGAAATCCTCTAGCTTTAGAGGGAATATATTTTAACATTTCTCTGATCCAGCTCCCAGTCTGGTTTCTGTCTACACATACTCTTAGCCAGATGTAGGGGTCAAGTTAAGTCTCTGCAGCACAGAGTGCAACAAGTGGGGGAAGAGTTGCGGAGACAGCAATACCTAAAATTAGTCTTGCTGCTGAAGGAAATGTAACAAATCATAGCTAATTAATTGGGCAGGGAAGAGTTTTAAGAGTGAGACAAAGTACCTCAAAGTAGTTTTACCCCTCAGCTCCCATGAGAACAGCCAAGGACAACCTTTGAAGGCAATTTTTGCTTCATAATTATGTTTTGTGGATTTTAAAGAAGGAATGTTGTGACGAATTTAGGGGTCTTCAAAAGCCCCTTTTAAAAAGGAGGGTAGGTTTTTCTTAAAGGTCTCTGACACATGACACTAAGTATCTGTGAGAACTGAGTACCTTAATCTTTTTGAGATTTTTGAAACCCACGTTCCAAAAGCCTGAAGGACAGCAGGTAGAAAACCCATATAATTCCTGTGCAGTGGTAGAGTTCTACCATGGACTGTGGAAGCAAAATCCACTTGTATATGAATGACTGTGAAGATCCCATCATTTGATGTCAGGCACCTGTTAAAACCCGCCCTGTCAGGCAGCAGTAATTTTTGTTTTATTATTAAATCCCTTGGAGTGAATTAAAGTAAATTGATAAGAAATTATCAGTTTTTACATATTATATCTATCTATCTATCTCTCTCTATATATGGTTTATTTTAGAACAAGTTGGTTGCAAAGGAAACAGGTATGTAGCCATTTTGGCTTTTATTATCTATGGTAGCATAGCAAATAAAGGCATAAAGGTATTGCAAAGGAAAACATGTATTTAGCTGTTTTACTTGTAATATAGCCACCCAAGAAAATGTGTAAGGGAAAAGAGAGAAAGAAAGAGAGAAAAGAATAAAAGTTTTATAGTCACCAGTCAAAGGCCTCTGGCAAACTTGGTTGTTGGGGTCGCTGGTGTCTTGGTCTGTCAGGCAATGGTGGGGGGGGAGAAGCCCACGAAACATACCCCGAGAAACCCTCCTGGTGCCTCCCTGTGTGTGTGTGGGGAGCCCTTTTTGCAGAGGCATGATGTTTTTGCAGAGGCTGGAGGTGCTGGTTTTTGCAAAGTCATTCCAGGCTTGGGAGAGGTGTATGCTTTGAAGGCACCCTGCTAAGAGGCCTTCTGGGGCAGTGATGGGTGTGTGCATGCAGCACCCCCTTTGACACAGCTCGTGGGAGACAAACATCACAAATCCAGAGAGTGCCACTAGTCTCCTTTAGATAAAGGTCACACACCTAAAGAAGCATCTCACACCCAAGACTTCACCCCTATGGCCTCACAGATTATGTGTGGTCTCCTCCCCTCAGCCTTATCTTCAGTCTTCTGGCAGCAGCTTCTTTGGACAGCTGTCCTCACGCAGGCTGTGCTCTTGCATCCTAAAAATCTCTGCATCTCAATCTTTGCAAAGATAAATGTTCAAACAAGAAGTGAGTTAGGATAATACAGAGGGAGGAGTTGTAATATTCTGCTAACAAACTTCATCTTGAGTTTCCTGTTGAGTGGATGTCTTTCCTTGGCTGGTTGTAATTCTCCCATGAAAAGATTCAGTTTGTCACCCTGCACCAGCCATATTGAACATGGATTTTAGAATCTTTTCATAAGAGGGCCCAGCTGTGAACTATGAATACCAGGGAAGCTGACTAAAAGGCAGTTTCTAAAAAAAAAAAACACTTTTTTCCTGTGATGCCCAAGAGAAAAGTCACTTTGGGCAACGTACATTTATCTGTATCAGCTTTCAGAAGCTGAGCATAACTGAAGGTAAACACAGAGTTTTAGGAGGAAGAAGGCAGCCTTATGTTATTGATGAATAACATCCGAGCCTGGTGCAGTCATGTAACAAGTAAAATAATTCAGCAAGCTTCAGAAAGCAGCTGTCCATAAATAACCTTACATCAGTACTATGGCTGTCTGACAGTGGGTCTACATGGTGCAGTATCAAGGCATATAACATACAATGGTTTGACTTCACTCTCTTCTATTCTGGCTGTGACCAAAGGATATCTGAGTGTACAAAAGCACCACGGTCAAGATTTGGGACTGGTGACTATTTATTTTGTGGCATGGGTAAAGGAACAGCAGCTGCAAGAGGAGGAGAAGAAGTAGTGAGATAAAACTGTCAGGTTCACATGAACACAGACCATGTTCAGTGGTGTGCTTGGCCTGGTCTATCCTGCCATGATGCACCGAAGGTCACTCACAGGTATCTCCAGCTGTGCTGTGCTCTGGTCTTACTGGGACAGGAGGGTTGTGGTGGTATTTACTGTGATGGATCTGTAGCTGGTGCAAAGCAGCCTTGCTCTGCTGGCATCAGCTTGACGACTGAACTTCAGCTGAAAATCTCTCCTTGGGTGTCTGATGTGTTTCTCTTGGGCTGCAATAGTCCGTGAGAACTGGCTTTCTGCTCCACTGCTGATGAAGTGAAACACAGGAAAAAAGCTTGTCATTAGCTGTGGAAACAAGTGATTGCTTAGGAATTGCATCACTGCTGTAATCAACAGTATATTAAAAAAAGAGCATTATAACTTCTACTTCCACAGAAAAATGAAGGAAGCACTAATGTCTGCACTGTTCCTGGAGATTTCTATGTAAATTGATAAGTACCAGTTGCTGCATGTTGGTGTAAAGTTATTCTGCTGCCCATCTTCCCTGTATTTTGGGGATAGGGCATCATCTGTCACTTACAGCATGGTCTGTCTTTTTATAGGAAGTCAAAGTTTATGGCAGAGGGAATCCAATTAAAGTTGTAGCTGTCGACTGTGGGTTGAAGCACAACATTATCCGTCTGCTAGTTAAGGTAAGTCAATGCTTGATGTTGCCTATCTCTCGTTTTGCTTTGACAAGGGCCTTGCCTGTACTCTCTAACCTTCCTTCTACCTGCACACAGCCATTCTAGTAGCAGTTGCCCTCCTAAAATCAGGTACAATTTTTAGGATGACTTTCATGGACTAGGAAGTGTTTTCTGAACTTGATACGCTGTATTGAGGGGGTAAGGAGTACAACCTGTCCAGCAGCCTCTCAGCTGTGAGAAGAACCCCTTGAAGATGAGTTGTCATAAGATGAGGCACAACTTCTCTAAAGAGCAACCAAGGAAGGTCAACCCAACACTGTAAAAAATAAACAGGGGGGAAAAAAGTTTCAATGAAGGTGGTGAATAGTTGAAACAAGCCCAGGGAAATTGTGGAATGCCCATCTCTGAAGATATTAAAAACACAGCTGACCCAGGCCCTAAGTAACCTGCTCTAAAGTTGAAGTTATCTCTGCATTGAGCAGACCTCCTGAGGTTCCTCCATCCTCAGTTTTTCTTTGACTACAGGATTCTGTGAAAATCTTTTCCTGTTTGTAACACAGTGATGTAGCAGTGCTTGCTTCTTTAGCCACACAGGCAGACTGAAGGCAGTGTCCTCTCATTCCCTAGATGTAAACGGTTTCTCTGATTCTGTATTTTAATTTGTGTGGATATTTGTCTCATTTTTGATGGGTGGGACTATTTCTGGCATGTCACAGAACAGAGCTGTGAAGACCTAATTTAGCAGTCAGAATGCATGCACTGTGTAGAAGTGAACATATTTTACATATGTACATACACTGAAATCCAGACTCAGCCTTTGGGACATGAGAGAGGAACAACCTCCTGACACAAATTCATTTGTTTCCCTCCTGCCCTCATTTCTTGTTACCTTGGGGGTTTTTTGTGGGTTTTTTTGTTTGTTTTTTTGTTTGTTTTTTAGCGAGGTGCAGAAGTACATTTAGTTCCATGGGATCATGATTTCACCAGCATGGACTACGATGGGCTCATAATTTCTGGGGGACCAGGGGATCCCATGAAGGCCCAGGAGGTGATTCAGAATGTCAGAAAGGTACAATGTAATAGCCATACAGTTGTTAATTTGCCTTTTTTTCTAGTGCCTGAAATCCAAACAGTTGGTTATATTAGCATGTTATGGGCCAAATGTTGTTCAGTCGTTTCAGCTGCCTGGAATATTCCTTGTGTTTGTCCACTGGGAGTTGTCTCCAGCCCAGTAGTTACAACAAGGCTGTATAGACCTTTACTGGTGCCTTAAAGTACACTGTGCTCTTTCAGGACCTCTGGGACATTAGGAAAGAACAGCATTGAATTCAGGGCTCCCACTAGCAATAATGCTGCACACTAAATGGCTGTAATGCGGAGTGTCATTGCTTATTCCCCTCGACTAGTCTGACACCAAGCTGTGCCCTGAGGCTTCCCTCTGAAGCAGGGAAGAGGAGGAAGCTTTCCTTCCTAGGCTGTTGCCAAGCCTGTGAGGGAAGTAGCATAGTTTATGCTGGTATTGCTGAACAGAGACACTCCAATATCTCTTGAAAACCTTTTCATTTTAGGTTCTGGAGAGTGATCGCCCAGAGCCCCTGTTTGGAATTAGCATGGGGCATCTAATCACTGGAATAGCAGCTGGAGCTACTTCCTACAAGATGCAGATGGCCAACAGGTGTGGCAGCTCTTCTGCTTTCCAGGGCCTAGACAGACCACTTCAGCATTGTGAAAGGCCACAGAGCAGCAGTGCTTTGCTGCTGAACTACCTTAGCAGCAACCAGTGTGTCAGTGACATTGCTTCTTCATGCCAGCCATTCTCCTCACCTTTAATTTAAACTGCCATGTCATGCAATACTGTTTTTGAGGGTGTTTTGAAAGTGTTTGATGTAATTGATTCCCATCAAACAGAAGGATAGCAAAGTTTCTCCTAGGTTTTATTATCTTCTGAATGGCTGCCAGTATTGAACAGCTACACTTGAACTGCTGTGTATAGCCTCATAGTTACCGGCTCCTCCTAACTGTGACATTTGGACACATCTGGCACTTCTGTTCTCTGATTCTTTTTTTCTTCCAGAGGCCAGAACCAGCCCGTGCTGAATGCAGTGAATGGGCAGGCTGTCATCACTGCTCAGAACCACGGCTATGCCATTGACAGCTCTACCCTCTCCTCTGGCTGGAAGCCTCTCTTTGTGAACGCCAATGACCAAACCACTGAGGTGAGCTCATGCTTTATTCCGGAGACCTGCACAAGGAAGCCTCTAGTGAGCAAAGACACTCTGGCTTTATTTCACCTCCTGGAAGCTTGCTGTCAGATTACACTTTGTTATCAGGGCTGAATGTGGTAATCTGACCATCTACTTTACTTGGAGCTTGCCTTAAAGCCCACAATGGGTTAGCCTTTACCACTGTTTGCTGTACCAGCCCAGAGTGTAGGATTGTCACAGTGACTCCAAACTCAGTTTAGGTCTGAAACAAAAGAACTAAACCCAACAACCAGAAATCATTGGATTGGACATCTCTTTATTATGCCAGCTGGGTGTTCATGGGGAATTGATTTGCCATATACAAACCGAAGAATCAGTACAAATTTGGGGCATAAATACAGTATTCACTGAAACTCCTTCCCACAAGTCCAACCTTGAATTATGTCATAATTTGGGGGTCAAATATCATCCTGGAGTTCATTCGTGGAGCAAGGTCGCCATCTCGCATTAACTTCTTCTGGGGGGAGCAGTTGTGTCTTCTTTCCACTTGGCAGGTCTCCTAGCACCTAAGATTGATCCAGCTGACCCCTAAACTAATTGTTCTAGTACCTACTAGGACACATATATTCATCATTGGTTAAAGATAACTAGAATTTCCTATTAACTTAATCTTTAACTGAATTTACTTCTTAGCAAAACAGTCTCATATTGATCAAGTTTCTCGAAGTGTGTAAGCTGATTTCTTACAGGTGTGCTTATGGTTCACTCTCTTAGTTCCCATAATTTCATCTACATTCTACATCCTGAAACTAATTGTAGTCCTAAAAGAAAAGACAACTACTGTGCCAAAAAGCAAGTTCCTTAGTTGATTAAGATGCAATTTTTATCGAAGCTAAATCTTCTAATTTCCTAAGTCATTTGAAAATGAGGCCCCCTCTCATTTCAGGTCCACAGCAGTAGTCCCCCTTCATCACTCTGCCCAACCCAGGGCACAGATCAAGCCCCTGTATCAGCAGTTAAAGTGAGTTATGGAAATCAAGACTGTGATCAAAAACCATTTCTACTGTGACAGAACCAGTCAAATTGGGATGATAAAACCATTCATTCCTTAACAGCCTTGTTCCAGGTGATCTTTTCTTGCCAGCTTTTCATCTCTGCCTAGTCCAGGATTGACTCTGGAGGCAGACCAGTGTATCTGCTCTGTTAAATTCTTCCAGATTAGCAGTATTTGCTGTTGCAGTGACAGTGATATCTCCCCTGTGGCCCTTGTCCATGCACAGCTGAGCCTTAGCAGCAGAGCAAGAGGCTCAGGAGCTCATTGGATGAGACATGGCTTGAAGATTGTGAATAAAAGGGGTGTAAATTTGACAGCCCCTGGAAACATACCAGTCCTTTGGCCTTCAGTGCTTGCAGAGATAAGATGTGGCTTTCTGTTGGTGTGTTTGCTTGTCAGGAGGTGTCTAAGAGAATCACTTTTATTCCTGCAGGGAATTATGCATGAGACCAGACCAATTTTCACAGCACAGTTCTATCCAGATGCAAATCCTGGGCCAAGGGACACAGAGGTAATGTATGAGAACTGATCTGGGCTTGCTTTCAGATGGTCTGAGGAGTGCAGATATGTATCAGCTGCGGTGAGGAGTCTTTATGTTGGTGATGGTCCTACATCTTGGTTTTGGAAATGTCGGGCTCCTAACAGAGGGCCCAATCATGCATAGGCTTGTGTCTGCTTAGCTTGATGTGCAGCTAATTACAATCAGCAGCAAGATGTCTATTGACTTCTGTGTGCCTTGGATCAACGATTCCATTCATATTATGTGTATGCATCGAGTCCTGGTGGGATTATCTCTGTGTTGGAAGTTACTGAAGTGCTTAAGCCTCTACAGGATCAGGCTCAAATCTCTTGCAAAAGAGATTGCAAAAAGAATAGCATTTTATCTTAACAGAAAAAATACTAGCCAGATGCTTTGTAATAAAATCATTAACTTTCTAATACATTTTAGTTCCACTTTCAAATTTTATAATTACTGTAGAGTTATGTAAATGGATGCATACTTCCTCACTCTGGTTCTCCTAAGTGAAATGAAATTTTAATCCCCAATCTGTGACTTCACACAAAGTCTGTAACAACTGGTTGTGTAGTCACGGAGTATGACTAAGCAGCATCAGGGGATGTGGAAAGCAGAGGAGGCATGTCTGAACATAAATAAGCTATTTAGCATTTCCTGAGAGAGGAAGATGGAAGAATACATAGAAGTGCTTATTTAAATCTTAATTTGATGATGTTGATTAAACCTGCAAATAAATCTCTTGATATCAAGAAGTTTTGTAGCAATCTGATTGACTGGTGAATCTCAGAGAACTCAAAACAACTCTCAGCTGTGTGTCTTTTCCAAGTCTGTGCACTCCCACTGCTGGGATGGGTTTGATAACATAGTACCTATCCTGATAGGCTTGCAGGACCCATCCATACTCCTTCCATGGATAATTCCCAGGGACTGTGTGGCAAAAGCTCTGCAAGTGTGGGGTCAGGTGGGAAGCCTGTCCCACTGTGTGTAGCTGCCTGCCTTGCCTTGCCTGCCCTGGCTGGAAAACACTTCTGACAGCTGCTCTGGGACCTCCTCTGGAAGGACAACACTGATTTAGCACCACTGATGTTTAGATATCCCTGTTCAGGTCCCTGCTCTGTAGCAGGTGCTGTTCTAGATGGTTCCCTGAGCTTGTCTAGTGTATGCTCTTCTGTGTTTTGGCTTTTAATGCACGTTCACTTGTTGCACTGCCAGCCACATAGAAGCAAAGCACACAGGCATGATTGATGTGTGTTTTCTTCCTGATTATGACCTCCCTTTCTTGAATGCAGCTTTGTCAGAGATGTCAAAGTTGTTAAAAAATTTCAAATAACTATTTTGTCTTCTCAGATGGTGTAAATCTACCTGCTGAAGGCAGCAGAGCAGAGCTGATTGCTCGAGCTCCCAAATGGCCTGTTTTTTCCTTCTTTGCTTGGTATTTATTTAGTTCCACTTTGGTGGTTATTTTTCCATAAACGTGTGTTTATTTTTTCTAGTTCCTTTTTGATTCTTTTATTTCCCTGGTTAAGAGTGGGAAAGGCAGTACCATTTCCTCAGTTCTGCCCAGGGCTGGAGTGACTGCTTCCAGAGTAGAGGTCAGTATACAGCTACTTGTTTATCATGCCTGTCGGTGAGGCTGGGACCTACTTAATTCCTACTATACCCACAGCACAAAATGGCACAGAAAACTGGTCATGGAAGTCTGAGGAGGCTTCCCTTATAAAAGTCCTTACAGCTGCTTGTCTCACAGTCATCAGGCCTCTCTTGTGTTATTAAGTCCCTTTTCTTTGAGAAAGTTTTAAGTTCTGACGTTTCATGGATTTTTCTTTGCAGTTCTCCCAAGAAAGGTACTCTCACAGCAGTATAATGAGGTGCCCTGGGATAATCTGGCCATGAGATTTTGTGCCTGCAGTAGAATGTTGATGCTTGGTTGCTAAGCAAATAAATCTGAAATTCCAAGCGTGGGCTGAATTTCATACAGTTTCACTATCTTAGAAGGCAGCTGGACTTTGTGGGCAGCCAAAGTGAGGCATGGTTATCTATAAGCACATGATACAATTAACATATTTATTGTATGCCCAGTGCATGGATCATGTGTTTCTCTGACAAGAGATATAGGAGAGAAGTCCAGTAGAAATACTCTTAGAAGTAAAAGTGCAGTGGTTTTGAAAGCGGCTTTTCTTCTCTTTTGAGAACTTATGTTCTGTAATTTGAAACTGTTGGTTGCTGCACAGTCTCTCTGTTCATTTCAACATCCACTATGATAGGACTGATTTTTTTTCATGCTGTTTTGACCCTGTAGGTCTCCAAAGTTCTCATTCTAGGATCCGGGGGTCTGTCAATTGGTCAGGCAGGGGAATTTGATTACTCTGGATCCCAGGCTGTAAAAGCCATGAAGGTGAGGAGATACTCTGAAAATACTAACCTCATGTAACCTATTTTCCTTTCTTGCAGCTGAACTGATCTTCCAACTATGGCATCAGTGGGGCAGGGAAGCTGATGAGGATAAATGACTGTAGGGAAATTTAGCCATTTTTTGTTGGTGAACTTGTTGTATGAGTGAAATGAGTTAACCACTCAGAATTATCTACCAAAGAGAGATGTTCTCGAGGTTTCCATTGCAGTCTTTGAGCAGTTTGTTATTTGTGATGTGTGCCTGGTCACTCCAGGCTTCTCAAAGTAAATGGGGATGAAAAGGAGGGATATGCTCAGCTACACCTGAGCTGGAATTACTGGAACTTCCGGGGTGTGTCAGCACATGGCATGGTTGTCATGGGAGAGTGGAAAGCTTAGACAAAATTTATTAAAAAGCCCTGCCATTGAGTCCCGAGGTGCAGAAAGGACTCCCTTTCTTTCTAAACTCCTTCTTGGAGAAGGGTTTAGATGCAGCTGAATCCTGTCTTAGCCTTGGACTGTGTTAACGGTTTAAATTTAAAGGGCATGTAGAGAGGTATGATTAAACCACTTTGTCCCACAGATTTTAATGATGGCAAAACAGAAATATTTATATAAATGAATTATTTATTATGACAAACTAACAGGTGAACAGATGAAAGATCTTAATCAGAATTATTTACTCCACAAAATAAACACTAAAAATCTACTGGTAGAGTATAATATAGCATAAAGTAGTATGGTACACTGTAACAAAGCAATTATTGAAGCAGTTATATTAAAGCTAGCAAAAAGAAATGATTATTAAGTAAAGATTTGATGTAACTCACTCATGGGAGATCTCTTTCTCTCTACCTCAAGGAGTATCCTTGGAGGGTGTCCCCAGCCAAGGGAGGCATCTCCACACATACACCCCAAGAAGGGTTATGTCAGAAGAGCCTGACTGCATGAGAGGGGACTGGACTTTTATAGTATAAAGTGATTGACTGCTGCAATGCAAAAGATTTTGAACCCCTTTTCAAGGCCAGTTTTCTAAATGGTATTTATTTTGAATAGGATGAACTTTTTAAAGGTCATATATGTCAAATTTTGTTTCCAGAATATGTCCTAGAAAGGATACTAGGGCAAAAGCTCATGCTAGGAGAAGGTGTGGAAGGGTGAAGTGTACTGTGAGGGGGTTACTGCTGGTAATGTAAGAGTTACCTGGGCCCCCTAGTTCATGTCTAACCTCTTGTGAAGAAGGAGGAGAGCTTGTAGAGGTGTGACAGTTCCAGAGCAGAAATAAAAAGGTGAAATTTGAAGGAAAGGGTTGCAAGGGCAAACTACAGGTGCAGTAAAATCCAACATCCCAAACAATTGGGCTAGAGGATGTGATATCTTTTTCCCCCACCACTGCCACGAATACTACGCAGTTTAGGATCATTTGTCTAAATCTGAAATATTTTCCGTAAGGATTTTATATCTTCTTTCCCTTCCCTGTTCCACACATTTCCAAGGAAAGTGCTTCAGTGAAAAAAAATCCAATTTTTCATAGGAGAAAAAGGTCAGCAGGAATTTACAGCCAGTCTTTAAGGCAGTATTTTAAGTTAGCAAAGAAAGGAGAAGAAATGTTATCCAACACCTGAACTGAGCACTCAGAGCTCTGAGTGAGAATCCCACCCCCAGGTGAGCTATTCCTTTGTTCCCCCAAACCAATGAGACAAACAATCACAAATTTTGAACAAACACAGAAAAGTCCTATGGCATTTTCATGCTTACTGTGTGGTGGGGGAAGACAGCAATTTCTATACTGGTCCCAGCAACACTTCCAATAGCATTTGCTCAAGGGATGGCTGACTTAATCTACTGGCCTTGTTCCTGTTTCTTTCTACTCTTTTAAAAATGTTGTTACTGTTCCTGTTTTTAATGGAAATCATCGTTGTTTCTTAACCTCCACAACTTCTATATAGCAAATGTTTCTCTTGAAATGTATTTTTCATCTATAATTAGCATTGTTTGCAAATGATGTGTTTGTTTGTAGAAGTTTATTGCCTTACAAGAAGTTGATAAAAATTAGAATGAGTTCCCTTAAAAAAATGAGGTCTTTGCACTTTCCAGTTCACCTTTTCAACAAAGCAGTAAATCATTGTTCTGTATCTGCTTGTGGTTGACATGGATTTTTTTTTAAGCTTGGCCACACTCATCATTATTAGCAAAACTTGGTTGACTTCCTCGTTACGTGCTAATATTTCAAGAGGGAGGAGAGTTGATCTGCCCAGCTCCGACTCAGATTTTTCTGTTAATGAGCAAACTGTAGTGAACTTCTGTCTGTAGCCAAAAGAGTGGCAAAAGTCCCACTGGTATAGCAGGAAACAGATACTCTTTATTATCACTCTATCTCAGTTTCTTATCTGTGACAGAGAAAAAACAGAGTAAAGTTTTCACTAACCTTTGTCTTGCATATAGAGGCAGAGCTTGTCTTTTAATATGCGCAATATCAAATAAAAAAGTTACAGAACAAGATTTTTAAAGTCATAACACCAGAAAAATTAAAGCATCTTTATGGAAAGTCAAAGCAAAAAATGTATTTTTGTTACTGTTACTAGTTGGTGCAAAAAAATCTGAGAACTACCTGGTTACCCATGAACAAAGACCTACTGCTTGCCAAGAAAAGATTGCCTTTAGAATTAAATTTTTTGCTTTGGCATTTTTAATCTGACTTCCAACAGAAGACAGATGTGATTATGCTGGACTTTGTTCCTGTCTGCTTTGTGTAAGTCCTAAATGTGGTAAACAATTTTGACCGAATTTCTGAAATGGTTGAGAATGTCCATTCTCTCAAGATTCACAAAGAGGCAGAGGCACAAAAGTAAAGAATTGGCATTAGTTCAGCCTCGTGCAAGAGACCAGAAATCTCTTATGGGACAGGACATAAGGGATGAGACTTTTTTAATTCTGCTGTTGCTAAACTGCTTGTTGAACCCCATTTCTCGCTGCTGCTGTCAGCTTTTTTATGCCTATTTTTAATGCAAATTTTAATTTTTCAGGAAGAAAATGTGAAAATTGTCCTCATGAATCCCAATATTGCTTCAGTGCAGACCAATGAGACTGGCTTAAAGCAGGCTGATGCTGTCTACTTCCTCCCCATCACTCCACAGTTTGTCATAGAGGTCATCAAGGCTGAGCGTCCCGATGGAATAATTCTGGGCATGGGTGGCCAGACTGCTCTCAACTGTGGTGAGTGTGATACAGGTGCCTTGGCACTCCTTGCGGGCAGACTCATAATTTTTGCCAAATAACAAGTAAAGTAATAAAGGACAGGACCAGAAGAAATGGCTTCCAGTCGCACCAGGGGAGGTTTAGGTTGGATATCAGGAAAAATTTCTTCACTGAAAGGGTGGTCAGGCATTGGAACAGGCTGGAAGTGTTCAAAAGGCATGTGGATGTGGCACCTGGGGACATGGTTTAGTGGTGAACGTGGTGGTGCTGGGTTAAAGGTTGGATTTGATGATCTTAGAGGTCTTTCCCAACCTTAATGATTCTATGATCCTGCCACATGTTCAGCAGAGTTTATTTGTGCAGGCATGCAAGACCCACAGGCCTCATACATTGCCTGGGTTACTGAGAGATACAGGCAGAGACCTGGGGAGAGTGAGTCACTGCTAAGCTGTGAACATAACATCTAATTGCTGGGTTTGATAATTAATATGTCCTGGTTTTCAGCTTAATTCTTAGTTATTGTAGTTGGATTTGGGATATTCAGACCAACTTGAAGCAGAGATCAAAAGGAAAATTTACCTTCATTTAACTTCTTGGACCGGTACTCATCTGTGCAGCTCTGCTCTGTGTTGCAGATGATGGCCAAGCAGTAACTGTACTAATATCTTATACTAATATCCCTCACCAATTCGAGGACAGAAAATTTCGTGGTATGGTTCTGAGATCTAATACTGAAAAAGAATAATAAAATTAGCTGTTGATGAGGCCAGACAAGTTGTCAGCTAGTCAGATATCTTTTGAATACTTTCTTCTGTCTAAGTTTTCTAAGCTTTCTGGATTCTTTACTGTGAGGGTGGTGAGGCACTGGAACAGGTTGCCCAGATGAGTTGTGGATGCCCCATCCTTGGAAGTGTTCCAGGCCAGGTTGGACGGGACTTGGAGCAACCTGGTCTAGTGAAAGGTGCCCATGGCAAGGGAGTGAAATGAGATGATCTTTAAGGTCCCTTCCACTCTGTGATTCTAATAAGTTTATTATTCTTCATCTACTATCAATCCTCAAAACTGTGTCTTTGTTTACTCTGCAGGAGTGAAACTCTTCAAGCAAGGAGTCCTGCAGCAGTATGGTGTGAAGGTTCTAGGTACATCAGTTGAATCCATCATGGCTACAGAGGATAGAAAGCTCTTTTCTGATAAACTGACTGAGCTAAATGAAAAGATTGCTCCTAGCTTTGCAGTGGAATCGGTAAATCAGATAATTTTGAAGATGTGATTACTATTACTGTTACCTATTTGAGTTAGTAAAAGTATTTTTGATTTTGTTGAGTGAAAGCTGAATGCAGCTGTGGATACTGTAGTGTGTATGCCTGCATCATCACTCCTCAGGAATTGCTGGTGGGTCACTGATTTAAAATGAGTGAAAGTGCAATTAAGCATTTGAAAAGCCTAAACTAATTTACTCATTGACAAGAAAAGTAAATTTGGTTGGAGTGACTCCTGTGCTGCAGCACAAAAGTCTGTAAGATGTTGGAGGTACTTTTCTTTTTTTTTAAATCTTGCACAAGCTGTTTAGACTTCAGTGTTTAGGTCCTCAAAATCAGCAGTATTGAAATATTTTTTGAGGATGGGAGTATGAAAGTAAAAAACTGATTCATGGAGAGTCCATTGGAGTTTGGAGAAAACCAAACAGGTCTTAAACCAGGATGTCTGTCGGAGGGATTATTTCATGCTAAAGTCTCTGGAGACAGACCTGGTAAGGAAAGTGGAAATGTCCATGGAAAGTCAGCAAGGAATTCCACACATAGCTAAAGACAGAAGTTACCTCCTGGGGTGCAGTTTTCTGCTGCTTGGCAGAACAAAGTAATATTGCAAAGCCAACTTTTATTATTTTCTTTTTACCTTCGGACAGTTTAGTCTCTTACTGATGGGATTTCCAGGTAACCGTGTAACCAGAGTTGAAGACTTTATTCATTTGAATTTTTATCTCTCTCTGAAATGTATTCCCCTTTCCTTTAAGGTTGAAGAGGCTCTGAAGGCAGCTGAAAACATTTGCTTCCCAGTCATGATACGTTCTGCCTATGCCCTTGGTGGTCTGGGGTCAGGCATATGTCCTGATAAGGAAAGTTTGCTGGACCTTGGTACAAAGGTATGTCTGGAATTGCAAGCTCTGGGAATAGAACTGAACATCTGATTTTCTTAGGTACTCTTCTAATAGTCACAGGCACTGGAACTGTACGTACCCTACCTTTCACCTTACTTGTAAAATCTTGCCCTGATTGTGCTTTTCATAATCTGCTGCCTGCTTTTCCTAATGCTCATCGAGTTGGGTAATGAAAATGGCTAAATGACAGATCTGTTAAATTCACAACAAACAATCATAATTTGAGCAAGTTTTTTCAGCAGTTTTGGTCTGAAATGAAACATACTGGCCTATATTCACCGACTTGCATGAGTAAATGGCACATGAATGAGGTCAAGGAAGGTGAAACATTTGAAATGCTGAGTGATAATGTAGTCTCAGGGACAGGAGAGCTGGGAGCCTTGGGTCTGCTGTATTTCTGTCTAAATATGGTATTTTTGCTAGGTTAAAAGCTCGTGTAGAGATTTAACAGGATGACACTTCATAATTTGACATCTACTGGCCATCTCTGGCTATGAGGACAGCTCTTTTTCTGTAGGAAATCCGAGATTGTTGTTTAAAAATTTGCTGTGAAAAGTAAACAGATAATTGGGGAAAACAAATCAAAAGCTTTTTTCCTTGACAAAACTGCAGAATTTTAAGGAAAAAATCTATCTGTGGGGCTCTAAAGTTATTGTGTTTGTCTTTTCCTGGTTTGCTGAGCCTCCTAATCTTTCATGTGTTGCTCGAAAGGAATACTGCTGATGCAAAAATGACTTTTCTGGCTTTGTTTAGAGAAAGCAAAAATTCCCCCGAAAACCCTGGGAGTGCAGCTGTCTAAAAGGTTTATATAAAAACAGTTTTTCATTAGGAAACTCCCTAGTTTTAGTCAGCAAGTCTTGGTGTTTTTTTAAAAAAGTGAGCCTGCTGCCTACCAGCACCCCCAGATTCCTGTCTGCAGGGCTGCTCTCCAGCTGCTCCTCTCCCCATTTATGCTTGTGCGGAGCTTATTTCATACTAGGTGCAAAATCTGGCACTTCTATTTGTTATTTGTCATCCCATTAATCATAGCCTCATGCTCCAGTTGATCGGGATCTCTCTGCAAGGCCTCTTGTCCCTCAGAGAGTGAACAGCTCCTTCCAGTTCAGTACCAATATTTCAAAATTTGCAGTGAAAACCAATTTGACTTTTGTTGAATTAAATTTGGATGCTCATTTTCACAACCCAGCAGAAACTCTGTTCTTTTCCATTATGAAGATGATCTGTAGTAATTCAATGAACTGGCTTTTCAGGCACTGGGTTCTGAATTGTTTATAGTTCAGATAACTGAACACAGCTAGTTCAGGTAACCTGGCCTTTAGTTCATGTCTCCCGAGCCTGCTCATTGAGTGGGAAAAGACAGACACAGAAGCAGTGAGGATTGTTTTACAGGTGTGGTTGAGTGTTCCTGCTACATCACCACAAATTCAGTGCCTGCTTAGGCTGGGTGTGGAATGCCATTCCTCAAACTACTTTTCTTTTTGTTATGTGTGATTTTGGCAACTGAGCTAAGGGCAACATTTGAATTACTGCTTGATTTAATGACAGAGGGGACCAGACTGAAGACCCAATTAATGGGCAGCATTAAAACAAGAAGCTGTGCTAAAGGATGGATTGACAGTGTGCCCATTACTTTTTAGGATTTTAAATACAAATTGATTAATATTTTCTATCTGCTAATATTAAGGCCATTTATTCACTTAGATTATGCTCATTTACCAACAAACTGTATTATTCATTTTTGACTCATGCACTGAGGAGTGCTTTCAAGATTAGTTTAAGAATAAATCACAACTCTTGCCTCTGGTTAGTGTGCCAGTGATAAGCAGCATTATTAGTGCTATTAACTGTGTAGTGTTTGCTGGCACCCACACTCCCCATTACTCTGTCATTTCTGCAGTGTTCTCCTATTGAAGTCCCTGGGGCTGCCCACATAAAAGCTTGTGTCTGTTGCATGATTGAAACATTAGATGTTTTTATATTCCTATTTGTTATTTATATGCCACTGCAAGCACACATGCCCCACCTTTTTTTTCCCCATCATATCACATAACTATTTTCTGTGCCTTTCAAATGAAGCTGAAGCAATTAAAAAAAAAACCAAACAAAGAAATATAAAGTGCTTGTTATCAATGGTATGAACTTTACATCTTTCAAATTTCTGGTTGGTCTGGGGTGTCTGGAGATAAGTCATAGAAGTCTTAAATATAGAATATGTTCTAATAAGGGTTTTGGTGATTTTTTGTGGGGGAGAGCTGTTTGTTTGTTTGTTTTGTTGTTGTTTGTTTTGCTTTGTTGGTGGGGTTTTTTTATTTGGTTGGGTTTTTTTACTGTTTATTTTCCTTGAACTATTCTCAGGCATTTGCAATGACTAACCAAATTCTGGTGGAAAAGTCAGTCGTTGGCTGGAAGGAGATAGAATATGAAATTGTGAGAGATGCTGCTGATAACTGTATTGCTGTCTGCAATATGGAAAACATTGATGCTATGGGAGTCCACACAGGTAGGCTCGGGCACATGGTGGCTCACTAGAAATGGCTCATTAACTTTTTTATGCAGTGTCCTTCTGCCTGCTATTATTGACACAGTTTTGTTATTGATGAAGTGAGCTCTAGAAACAGTCTTCTGGTCTTGGATAAAGCCAGCTAGGGTGTGAAACTGATATTTTTAAGCTAAACCCACCTGATTTCTAGCAGTGGGTTGGCAAAGACAGTGACCTGTGAGGCCAGGATTTACTGCTGCTGAACTGCTTCTCATTTTCCTTCACTTCTACCTTATGACAAACAGGAGATTCTGTTGTAGTGGCTCCAAGCCAGACACTCACTAATGAGGAGTTTCAGATGCTGAGGGATCGTGCCATCAAAGTTGTCCGACATTTGGGCATTGTGGGAGAGTGTAATATCCAGTTTGCTCTGCATCCAACTTCCCTGGAGTACTACATTATTGAAGTTAATGCCAGACTCTCAAGAAGTTCAGCTTTGGCCTCCAAGGCGACAGGGTAAGATTATTTAAAAACCCCCACATGCTAAAGAAAAACAAATGAATAAACAAAAATGAGGGGAGCAGAACAAAAAGAGGGAATTTCAGTAATGCTTTGAATCCATGTATTATTTAAATATGTGACAGCTACAAGAAGAGTTCCTGCATCTGCTCTCCATGCAGTTAAAACATGGAGGCTAAATTTTCATCAAGGAAGACTGAAATTGGCTCAGGGAGAACTCTGGAGTGGTCAGGTCAGTAAGGAGCAGGTTTCTGTATGGGAAGCTTCTAAAACAGTTCTTGTCAGCACCTGCTGGGGTTGACCCTTGGAGAGCCAGTCCTACTGGGAGATGGGGGAAGGGGTTAGTGAGCTCTCCAGGTCTATTCCACCCTGCTGATTCTTGTACTACAAATGGGAAAACTCCCAGGAGGTGCGTGGGGAGGGAAGCTAATAGCTGCCTTACAAAGCACATACACTGTATCCATATGTTGGCTGCAAATCACCTCTGGAACCCAGAGGACACAGTTACTGATGAGCTGTCTGTCAGATTGATGCAAGTGGCACTGCTTGCTGCCTTTGTTTTGTTGGCTAATCATAAACTAATCACCATAAGGGTGGTCAGAGCAACCTGTTTAAAAATTGGCTTCTTAATTGCACTTTGCAGATACTGTTGAGAGACACAAATTAATCTCTAATTTGCAGTTCTCAGAGGCTCTTGTGGTTGTTGAAGAGCTGGTTGTCTCAGGCTGGAGATGAGCCATAATGTTGGGCAGTGGGTGTTCGATTGTTTCCTTTTTAGATGACAGACTTGCAGCAAAACATATCTGTGAGTGTGGGCTTACTGTGGATGTGATAGGCACTGAAAGTGGTGTCTTTGTGGATAAAAAAGCAAGGCCCAGATGGAAGGAACTGAATCTGCAGTGTGCTGATGCAGGAGGCTGGATGGGTCATGCTGTGCTTGAGCACAGGAACCTTCCACTGTATTGAGGAGGGACAATCACTTCACATCTGTTTAATTTGATCCACTCCTGGGATTTGCAAGAGCAAAGTACTTCCTTCTCTACTGTTCTCTACTTCTCCTCTATGGCAGGTATCCATTAGCCTTCATTGCTGCCAAAATTGCCCTGGGGATTCCCTTGCCAGAAATCAAGAACTTTGTGACAGGAAAAACCTCTGCCTGCTTTGAGCCCAGCCTTGATTACATTGTTACCAAAATACCCCGCTGGGATTTGGACCGTTTTCAGCATACATCCAACCGGATTGGAAGCTCCATGAAGAGTGTGGGGGAGGTGAGTGCAAGACTCTCCCCCTTCTCTTTCATTCCACCACTTGGGAAAGTCATTTCTCTTTCTTGGAAACCCTCAGAATATCTATCTTCAAGGACCGAATAAATCTGAGGGTATTTATTCAGCTCAAACAATTTTTATCCAGTACTATAATTAATTAAAATGAATTAGGACTGTGTAATCTTGGTTATCACAGTGTGGATTCATAAATGGTTTGACTCCTAAGGGAAGAGATCGCTATGGATTACCTGAGGTTGACTTCATTCTTAACACTTACTCCAGGACTCTGAGAGTAATTTTTTAGTTTGAGGTTCTGTAGTGGTGGTTAATTAGAGTAAAACTTCATGAATTGTAGTCTGTTAAGATTTTCAGTGATGCCCATGAGCCACAGCTCTCAGTTGTTCCCAAGTTATTTGTCCTCTGTGTTAAAACCATATGCCAAATCTCAACCTACTTCTGCTCTTCAAATCTAAACAGAACCTGTAATCTTGCTCTGAAGTTTTGACTTCTCTTAGTGGTTAAGTCTCTTACATCAGAATTTAAGGTGTCTGGACAACTACAGTATTTTCAGACCAAGTTTTCAGAGGAGAGAAATGAAACAAAATGGGTAAATTACTCACTTAATTAGTTAATTACCTATCAGCTACCAAAGCAAAATAATGAATTGTGTATTTTTTCAATTGCCTTTCTTTCCTAATGCTTTTCAAGTAGCTATTTTATTAAATTATATTGACGTGTAAGACGTCCCTAACATCATTGTTGTCATGAGACAACAAGCTTTTATCAGAACTGGAAGAATTAATTAGAATTTGATTTTCATTGGCAGTTTTGGCTTTTTATGGCAATGAGGTGATTTTTTTTTGTTTTGTTTTGTTTTGTTTTCAGTGAGTTGATGCTTCCTGATATTAAGCCTCTCTGCCCAGGGGTTTGGGGGCCGTTCTGTAGAGCTGGGGTTCCTAAATACAGTTGCCTTGTACACAATCAGCTGTAAACACTTGCTGGCCATACACATTTGCAGGAGGAAGCATCAAGTCCTTCCAATGCTCATATGTCACAGAACTGCCTGAACCTGTGTCCTTCTTCAGGCAGGATGCTGGGTAAAGGCAGGAAGGAGATATAGGAAGAGTCAGTGCTGTAACGGTGCAGGGTGAACTGAAACAGGGAAGGAGAAGCTTAAGGGATGCAGTTTGCAGCTGGTAGAGGTACTGAGCAGAAAGGTTAGTCTGAAGGACCTGTGAGCAGGAGGGGGAGTCCTTGAAGCAAAGAGTTTCTTGCCACTGTGTCTCTATTAGTTGGCACAGTCATCTCCCCAGGCCTGAACTTGAAGCCAGATCACAGCACCTACTGCACTTCTATTAACTGAACACCATGACCTGGCCTGGCTTTTCCTGAACTCTGTTGTGCTGGGCAGTGGGCCTGGAGCTGTGAGAAAAGAGAAAACGATTGTGTTTTTTCTTTTGACATTTTTCAGCATTGCGTTTGAGAAGATTTTTATGCTGTTAGGGTTTTGACTGCACTGGGAAATAAAAATGTAGAAGTTTGAGAAAGGGTTCTGTTACCTTGCAGATTTCCAGAGAGAAAGGCTTGTTTTCTTATTAGATGTGATGTCAAGACTGAAGGAGGGAAGCCCCAGTGCTGCTATGCCAAGGAGGAGTAACCCTTTAAGAGAGCCCTCACAGGGGAGAGTTACTGTTAAATGTAATTTGAAGGAAGAGGAGCAGATTTCTCCTGAACCTTAAAATTCCCACAGTAAGTTTCTATCTCTAACAGGTTGTTAAACAGAAATATTGTTCTGTATTACTATACCCATGCTGCTAGATAATGGCTCTCTCTACCAAAGTGCTTCAAAGCAATTTACAGACGAGAGCAGTGGCTTCCTGTATTTTGCAGGCAGGGAGACAGAAGCAGAAAGGAGTCACTTCTCTGGAACTCCCCATTGATAATGTGGGCAGAGTCAGACCTCGAAGTGGGACTCCCAAGGCTCGATCAGCTGCATCTGTCTTAAAGCCATCAGGACTGTCTTATGGAGGAGTCCAGTCTGTCATCTTTCCATACCTGTGCCTTCATGGTTTCAACTTGCACTCTTCTGTTACTGAGGGCACAGCTCAGTGTAGCTAACGTGGAATTGCTCTTCTTTGCAGGTCATGGCTATTGGACGCACTTTTGAAGAGAGCTTTCAAAAGGCCCTGAGGATGTGCCACCCCTCAGTAGATGGCTTCACTTCACGTCTGCCTATGAATAAAGCCTGGCCAGCCATCGTAGATCTCCAGAAGGAGCTTTCTGAGCCAACCAGCACTCGAATATATGCAATAGCCAAGGTAAAAAAGATAAAAAGGCCTTGACCTTTGTCTCTTGAATTATAGCTACCAGGTTGAGTCAACTGAGGTCACAGTTTACTTCACCCCCTTGCTTCCCTCTGCCAAGCACACTGGCATCCTATCCCTGTATAGGATCCTTGGTGATGCTTCCTTCATCTTCTATGTTCAGGTAATGTGTTTGTCTTTGGGTGGCACAGTCTTAGCCAATGCTCATTGCATTCAGGTGCATTCCTGATACCTCAGGTCTCCTGATACCTCAGTTTGTAGCTGAGCACTGATGGAGACCTAGATCACTTTCCTTTCCTATAATATTATATTTGTTGGGTAAACATTGGCTAATGTTCGGCCCCCTGATTTATACCAGTGTAAGTGCCAGTCAAAACTGGCCAGTTTTGCAGATTTCAAAGGAATAAATGAAGATCTTTTTGAGAACTGAAACAAAGGATGATAAAGAATAGCAAGCTGCAGTCTGGGAGAGCACTGTCTATTTGCAATGATTGCAATTGTATAGGCTTGAAACTAAAAAACTACACAAGTGCATGTTTAATTTCACAGACAATAAATCCTCTGTTCTTTGAAAGAGGCTTAACTTCCCATAGCATTCTTTTAACCCCTCTCCTGTCACACAGGTCAAATCACTTCAGCCCTCAAGGTGTCTGGGTAATGGGGAGTGCTATTGTAAGGGGACCTAGGGTGTAAAATTATTTCTTCCTTTGTCTCCTCAGTGTTTACCTGTATATATCAGATGGTAAATGTGGGGTTAGTCACATTAGAAGGTAGGTGTGATTTCACATTAGGTTTTACTGCAGCTAACTTGTCCATCTGTCCATACCCTCTATGGAGAGGAGGGCACAACTGTCTTTTATAGCTCCTACTTACCTTTTGGTTTGTGTTTTTTAAGATTGCAGCAAACTTTCCTGGCAAATTACTCTTTTTTCTGCCTCTGACTTTGTGTGGTGGAATCTGTAAGCCCTTTGTGCTCATGTGTAGATACATCTCCTTACATTTCCCCATGAGGGTGGCCAGCTGAGGCTGTGCTGTGTTTGCTGGGTTGTCACGTAGCTGTTCCTCTTATAAATGGCCTGAACGAAAAGCACAAGATGTTCTATAAATGTGTGGCTTGTCCAGCAATTGACTCCTGCTTTTCAAGCTGGGGAAGTGTGTATCTTCATCTTTCAGCAGCTGTGTTTGGTCTTTATTATAGCTTTTTCTCGTGACTGAGAGAAAAATCTTGCTGCTTGTCTCTCTGAGTGGCTTAGAGAGCTTTTATGAAACGTTAATCTTAGCTACATGTCAACACAGGAGATGTGGGGAGAGAAAGGTGAGTTTGGGTCCTACTGAACACTAGGTGTTCCCAGCTGCTGACATTTTCACTGGGAGCTGTTGTCAAAAGCAAGATCAAAGTCTTAATCCCTCCCTATAAAAGAGCTGCCTCTGCCCAATACAGTGCACTAATTCATCCCCATTAATAACTGAGGCAAGCTATATGAGCAAGAGATGCTTCTGGCAGCTGGGGCTGCTTGCTTGAAAATTCCTTTCCTGCTTGCTGACTTTTAAAAGCCAACAGTTATTCTCCATTAGTCATCAACTTTGTTTGGAAAAGGATGTAGCTTTGTTGTATATGTCTTCTCCTCCCTCCCAAACCCCACTAGTCGGCTCTCCAAGGCTTTTTACTTATTCTCTCTCCTTTGTCTGTTGGATAATGAGAACAGTTAGTGTTCAGGTGCAAGGGAAGGGAGTTCAGCTGCCATTCAGAGCTGTTGCTGTTGTGGTGGGGCTCCCCATGGTCATGTAAAAGAAGGCACCGTGAGAGAGGCTGACATAGATGAGACTTGCTCCTTGGCCAGAGTAGCCAAAGGCTGCAGGGATGGAACAGCCTGCTGAACAGGGATGCTCAGGTTGTGTCAGGTCTCTCCTGCTCCTCTTAAAATTGTATAGAGTTAGTCTCATGCTTCCATGGTATGTTTAAGCTGTACTCCTGCATGTAGGTTTGAATACAGTAATGTCATCAGAGTGCTGTCCAGACCTCTGATCAAATCCTACACGGATTTTCTGCCTGGAAACCTGATCTGCCCCTGTGGTGTGCTGATTGGGATCAAGAAATGTCTGCAAACTCATTCTTTTCTTCCAGTCTCCAGATTCATGCCACAGGGGTGAAGGTTTTCTCTGCCCCTCCTTTGATTAACAAGTGGAAGGAATTTTTTTTTTTTTTAAGTTACCTTTGGAGATCGTAGGACTTTAAATTAAGTGCCCTAAGCAGACTAAGAGTATGTGGTCATGCTTCCTGTGTGTATGTGTGGCTCAGGGACCACTGACTGAGTTTGGAGGTCCTCAAGATGTGCAAGTCTGCATGTGTTTTGTGAAAACAGATAGACAGAAAAAAGACCTGCTCACGTCACACTGATGTGGCAGTGTGACCTCACCCTCCAAGCACGAGGGAATAAGGAGGGGAGGAGCCCTTTACCAGTTGCCTCATATTAGTATTGTACCTAGAAATGAGTGAGAAGCCCAGCTTTGTTATTGCTCTGGGTCTGCTGAGAGGGCCTCAGGCTTCTCATTGCAGGCATTGGAAAGAGCGGTGGCTGTTGGGTGCCAGCTGCCAGCTGAAGGCTCTGTGTGTGACTGGTTACTCTAAAGGAGCAAAATATGCATTAGAGGTTTTCAGCACTGCTTTTGACTGTGTGGTGACAGGGTAACATTGTGCCCAAGCTTGGTAACTCGGAGCAATAATGCTGGGGTGTAGTGGGCCAAGCTCACGCTCAGATAAACGCTGGAGTTTTCTTCAGTGGCAATTGCTCTGGCTTTGTAACAGTGATGCTGCCCTGCAAGAAAACAATTAAGTGTGGTAACAGTTAATGATCCTGCTTACTTCAACTCAGCAAAGATGTCGTGCTGGCATTATCATTATGGTTGATTATAGTTGTTTTATCAGGAAAACTATAACTGTACGCCACTGGTGAGACCCAAGAAATTGCATTGATAGAAGATATATTATAGTGAGGGGCTCTCCAGCATATTTCTTTATGGTGTTTTGTTTGGTTTGGGTTTTTTTAGTAAATATTATGGTGTTTTGTAATTCATTGTCTCATGAATAATACCTCTGTGGGGCTCCTTTTTACCCCATGGCTGCAAATGATTGGTTTACAAAAACCCCATCAATAACCCCAGGAAGATATCTGGACATTCCTGTTTTAACATTTCCAGCTAGGAGGAGGTTGATGGTGAGCCTGAGATTTAGGCAACTTGAATGGTAAAAGGTGCAGATGAGAAGTCGGTGCTGCAGTCTGAATGTGCCTCCCTGTAGTTAACTAAGGCATGTACTCAGTGGCCACCCAGCCTTATTGCCATTGGTTTGTCTCATGCTGGCTCTGTAAAAACCAGATTACCTCTCTCTCACTTAAACAGAAGCCAGCCTTTGGTACCAAAGTGGGTGGTGCCTCCCTACACTGCTTGAGTGACACAGTTTCTGTTGCTGCAGGAGACGGGGTTGTGAGGGAGATGAACTTTTGATTTGTACAGCTTCATCTACAGAACCTTTTGTTCTTTATGCTATATAGTTGCTGCTACCTATCTGTAGGCTAAATCTGTATTTGTGCAGCAGGTATTAAAGGGGCTGTTTGGTGCTGTCCTGTTTTTGGCAGGCCTTGGATAACAAAGTCCCTGTGGATGTCATTCACAAACTCACAGCCATTGACAAGTGGTTCCTGTATAAGATGCACAGCATTCTGAACATGGAGAAGATCCTGAAGGAAGTGAACAGGTAAAAAAGGCCAACAGCCTTGTCCTAGGACACAACAGTCCTTCTGGGAATTCTTCTGCTGGAAAACCTATGGTAAGCACAGATGCAGTCAATGCTGGGAAGTTTATTCCAGTGCTTGGAGTAAGCAGCAGTGTCTTAAAACCCACTTTACTGCCTCACGCAGTCAGCAGAAATTTCTGAACACACTCTTTTTGGTAAAATAAATCTGTTGTGTACTCGGGCATCTTGACTGTTCTCAGGATTATGGAAGTTACAGTTTATTTTGGAAAACGGTCATTGTATCTCTGAGGCTAAGGCTGGGAATGGGAATGGCCTGCAAGGAGTAACAGTGTGCTGCACTCATGTGCCTAGGACAGAGTTAGCCTTCAAACTCACCACAGGACTTGTCCTGACTTATTGCACCTGGGGGCCACATACCCTGCATTTTATTTCCAGTCTGGCCTATTGATTTTTAAGCTTTTCTGCCTTGCTGTGATCATATAGTATGCGACACTTTTGTACCACACTTTCAAACATCTATAGTTCCCGACATATTTAAATATAAATCTTATTTCTTCAAGAAAAATGACCATATAAAAGCAAACAGGAAAGATAGCAGTAAATTAAAGTATTTCAGTTCAGCCTCTTGCTGAATTGAGCTTTCCCTTCATGGTTTTCAAGGCTGGAAGAGCCTCCTTGCTGAGTTATTGGCTGTGTGTTGGTGGCTTCTCTGCCTCTGGTACCCGTTGTACTCACACGTGTCACCACATGGTGGCACTGGGAGCGCACCAGAGCAAGTGCGTTGGTTCACCTGCTGTCGTCTGCATTTTGACCAGCTGCACGGTTTTAATTGAGCAGCCCTTGCTCTCCCTTGCCCTCTGGTACAAGCTGGATCTGGAGCTAAACAAAAATAAATGTGGAGGGAGATGTTGAAGATAAGGAGTAGCTTGATTATTTGCAGAAATCTTCTATTTGACTGCGCAAGTTTTTGCCCTCTAACATCCGTGTTGCATTTGTCTGTAGCCCCTTAAATATATATGTGCAGCTCCTGAGGAAGCAAAACAACATGTCGAGAATCAGTTTGAGTTCCTCACTATTGGAGTGGTGTGCTCTGGGATGAGGCACTTGGGACCCCAGAAGCTGGCCCCATGCTCAGCTGGTATAAATCCAGCATCACTCTACAGAAGTTAATCTTGCCAAACTGTCCTGTGTCCCTGAGGTCGCTTTCCCTTTCTCTGCAGTAGGTGGCAGGAGATTATGCTGCCAGCGCTATGATCAGTACCTGGTACCACCTCCCATAGTTTTTCCTCCTTCTGGTGACCTAGGCAGCAAGCTGTACAGGAGGCTGCTGAAGAGAGCCCTTAGGCAATATCTGACCTTGCATTTGTATCAGACATAACCAGTGTTGTGTCCCTTGGAGGTGGATTCATGCAATTCAACTCAGATTGCCAGTGGTGTCATAAAATCATTGAATGGTTTGGGTTTGAAGGGACCTTAAAGATGAATTAATTCCAAGTCCCCTTCCATGGGCAGAGACACCACCTACTAGACCAGGCTGCTCAAAGCTCCACCTAACCTGGCCTTGAACACTTTCAGGGGTGGGGAGGCCACAACCTGTTTAGACAACCTGTTCCAGTGCCTCACCAACCTCACAGTAAGAATATTTTCCTAATATCTCATCCGAATGTACTGTTTGTCAATTTGAAGCCATTTCCCCTTGTCCCATCACTACGTGCCCTTGTAAATAGTCCCTCTCCATCTTTCTTGTAGGCTCCCTTCAGGTACTGGAAGGTCACTACAAACCTTCTGTTCTCCAGGCTGAACATATAAATTATCTCTCATTCACTCACCAGGCAGATTTTCCCTCCACTGTCATTACTCACACCTTTCCAAGGAAACTGTCTTACCTCCCAGCCTGCACTGGAGGAGCGAATGGACTGTCTGGCTGCATTACATTGATGGCACATTGGCACAAAAGCAAAGAGCCGGGGAAAAAACACTTGTGACCTTAACTAAGAGGCTAGTCCAGTGAGCCACATCAGGAAACATATCTCTGCAATAGCCAAGGGAAAGTTAACTGAGTGATGCAGATGAGACTTGGCACACATGTGCTCTTCCTGCAGCCAGCTGTTTCCAGTTCCCGGAATGCCTGGCATGAGTTTTACCTGTGCTACAGGATAATTTCCAGTTGAAAAGAATGAACCGTGACACCATCATTGCTTTGAATCTTTCTGTTGTTGAAATACAGTTACCAGAACCAGAAATAGTTGTCCTGTTCCTGGGCACTGTTGCTGGTTACAAGCTGTTCGGATGAATCCGTCCCTTCCTTTTCGTTTCTGGATGAGGTTGGGGGTACTTTGCAGTGAGGTTTTGGATGCAGCTGTAGTAATGTTTCTGCCAAGGGTCTTGATTTGGGCCCTGCAGAGCAGTTGTAGAGACTGGTAATAAGGAGATGGTCTCTGCCAAGGGGAAATTTAGAGCTAGAACAAGTGGGTATGACAGACAGATGGGGAAGGGGAATCAGAGGCAGGTGGAGGCCTTTGTGAACAGTTCAGCGAGCAGCTTTCACACGCCACATGCTGCCTTGCATCCTCACCATGTGCAGCGATTCAGAGGTGAGCAAAAGGCCTCACTGATATATGCAAGGAATCTGTTTAGATGTGAGAAAGGTTGTTTGGGATAATGTAATGTGCGTGTGTGACTTTCTGATCTATAAATCCGCATTCTCTATGGTGTAGAGGCAAGGCCAGCCATTTGCAGAGACAGTAGGGACTGGGGAGGACACTCTACCCCATTTACTTTTGATGCTGGTGAGACTATAGCTTTGACACACTGTGGCAATGTTTCCATATGACTGCCTCTGGGCCCTCTAGGATGGAGGAGTTGTTTCAGGTCATGTGATGGAGCTGCAAGAAGGCAAATGACCTGAGCTGGAATGGGAAAAGAAAGCCAGTTGGAGGGTACTTGTGAGAATATCAATATCACAAACATGTCAAAGATGTGACTCTGCTGTTTCTCCTACATATTTTTCATTTTAAGTGGAAACTTACCAGTTACCTTTATACCTAGATGTAATTTCAACTACAACCTGCCCCACAACACACATGCACACACAAAAGTAAAACCATGTACACGTATGCACACGCAAGGAGCAAGCACCATCCTATGCAGTCAGTCCATGAACTGGTGATGATGTAGGGAGCAGGGGTAGTGCAACAGGATGTGCTGTTATCAGGAAATTCTTTCCCTAGATTTGGCCTTACCAGTCCTGTGAACAAAAAGTGGGGGGAAGGGCCTTGCAGTGATTCCATATCTGTTCATCACACTGACAACTCGTGAAGGAGATGGAAATTTGGACAGACCATGTCTGAGACAGTGAGGAGTGAGATGAGACTTTAAGGCCGGAGTGAGTCAGATTTGAAACAGGGACCAGTAATGTCATCATGGCCAGGAGCACAGCTGAAACCCGGTAACATCTGGGACGTACTTGACTAAAGACACTGGTGGCCTGGGTGCAAGGGAAAGCCTCTCTTAGAATTTGCATCTTTTCAAATGTTCTTTGACCAGTTGCAGTGAAGATTTGTTTGCATGTTGCCATGGTTATTTTCATCTGTTCCTGATTTTGTGGTCTCTGAGAACTATGACTGTATGCAAGGAGAATGTACAACAAACACCATTAAATACAGGTAAAAGGGTAGGCAGCTGTAGTGAAATCATCACTTAAGCCTAAGTGACGTGAGGATAAAAGTCTGGTTGAATATCAAATTTCAATATTGATAAAAGGCTGTAAAGTAAAATTTAAGTGAGAAAATAGGAGCAGGATAAACCCCCATTTTGAGGAGCTAAGCACAGAGATGGTGAGCTTGCCCAAAATCTCAAAGACAGTCTGGCAGTGCAGTGAATTGCACTCTGTTGCCTTAAATCTCAACTCTTCAAAATAACCTTAATAAAAACAGCAGATCATCCTTTTGGTGGATGCCAGAGTAGCCAGCCTACTAACAGTGAGAAGTGATGGCACCAGTCATATTTTGATAACTTTATGTTTTGGAGCTTTGTTTTTGAGGAGACTATGTCCTTGCTCTGTGGGTGTTGAGTGAAAACGCCTCCTGGCCTGTGGCTTGCTTGAGAGGGGTAGATGCAGTCCTGAGTATTGCTCTTGTTGTTCTTAAAGAGGCACAGGTTAATAGAAGGGAAAGCATACAAAAGTGGAAAGGTGAAGACCCACTCAGCCCAGCGTTTGTAGCTGGGTGCTCTGCTCAGCAGCCCCTGGGAGAAGGCGTTTATTGCAAATTCCTTTTTGGATCTCATGTCCTTGGGTCCATGTGTGCTTTGAAAGCTGCTTGCTGGAAGCATGGCTTGGATTTCAAAACGTGACTGTGGTGGAGTAGCCACAGAAACACAGGTGCTGGCACCAGCAGGTGAGCTGGGAAGCACTGCAGGGAGAGAAGCTCAGGCAGGCCATCAATAGGCTGTGCTCTTCCACAGAGGTTGCTGCATCCTTGCTCTTCTCAGCAGTGTTTCTGCTGACTTGTGTGCTTTTGGGACAAGTCAGAACTGTCAGGCAGGTCTTGTGTGGGCATCAAGCAGAGCAGGTCCAGTGATGCCAAATGAGGCTGTGCTGATTTATGCTGTTTGAGGAGCTGTCACTGACATATTTGTAGTGCTTGTTTCTAGCTAACTGGAAAGATTACTTTTGTCTTCTTTGTGAACTGTGGGGCAGGGAAGACTAGAAACATCTTAGGAATGCAGTACATGAGGAGAATATTCTACAAGCAGCTATTCAGCACTGTTGGTTGTGCTTTGTGTGGATCTGACTTAAGATACTTTCTATTTGTCTTATAGAGCCATCAGTAATAATTTCACAGTAATATTTTCTTTCAAAGCATCTGTGCGTTTGTGAAAACACAATATGCATATTTTCCTTGATACAGAGGATATACAAGCATTGCCAAAAAAAGCCATTGGGGAATCTTTGTAACCAGTATGTACAATACCAGGAGCAGGCAAGTCTGTACTGTGGC